TGGGGTCTTTGGGAGGTGACTGGATCAGGAGGGTGGGGCCCCCATGCATGGGGTTAGTGCCTTTATAAAAGAGGCGCCAGGAGCTCCCTTGCTCCTTCCAACTGGTGAGAAGTCGGCCTTCACCGGACACTGAATCTGCTGGCACCTTGATCTTGGACTTCCCAGCCTCCAGAACTGTGAGCGATACATTTGTATTGTTTATGAGTCACCACTGTTATAGTATTTGTTATAGCAGCCTGAACAGACTAAGAATGGGGGTGGAGGGTGTGCAGTAAAAGTGAAGCAGCGAAAGCAAATCCAAGAAACAACAAGGAAGGCATGTGCATAAAACGGGACTTTAGTCTCTGGCTCAATTTAAGGGTTCATATAAAAGAATAGTGGGGAGCTATAAAAACAGCAATTTCATATGGTGCAACTGAATAGGCAGGGCTAGGTGTGTTTATGGAAAGCTTGGCAAGGGGTGTCAGCAGAACTTATTATAAAGAAACACGTGGAGAAACACACACCAACTTTTAACACTGATCTCTCAGGGGAGCGAGATGAGGAAGACTATTAACTTTTCAGTTGTACACTTCCAAATGGATTTGCTAAAATAAATGCATTGCTTTTGAAATGAAAAATAATTTATACAAATAAATAAACCAAAGCGCTGTGCCCTCCCCCCACCAAAAGGCTCATTCAGCGACTCCTTCAAATATTAGAATTAAGGAACTCCTCTTGGGAATGGTTCTGTCTGGGACAAATCAAGGCAATACTTCTTCATTCAGTGAGTAGTAAATTGACAGAGTTAATTTAGGCTGAAAGTATACACATGGCCTCAAATAAACTACTTATTTTTGAAACATAACTTTATAAACAGTCCATGTCATGGCGTTATTAATAAAACAAGGTGATGGGGATAACCCTAACCTTAGGTGCTGATACCAAAGACATCGTTTGTGAATTTCCCAAAGACATTCTTTGGCCAACACTTCCATACAATGAATACTCTTTTGACTTACTGCCAATTAAGAGCCCAATTAGCAGAAGCTTAAGAAACTGAAGAATTGGGGTGCAGGGATATAATGTCCGCGTATAATGATGATGGTGATGATAATAACCATAATGATGATAATAATGATAATGAAACTTTTGGAGTACTTTCGATTTGCCAGGCATTGTGCCCTGTGCTTTATGTACATTATCACATGGAATCCTCACAATAACCCTTTGAAGTAGGCACTGTATTTTCTATTTGACCAATGAGGACTCTAAGGCACAGAAAAGTGGCTCTATGTATGTTAAGTAATGTGTTCAAAGCCATCCAGTTCATAAGTGGGTTTTAAACTCAAGCTGTCTGATTCCAGAGCCCAGGAGAAGGCCTTGTGTTTATGATTTATTGCAGAGACGCCTGTTAACCACTAAACATATATAG